TGGGGGGAGCAGGATGGGATGGAAGAGCAGGATGGGATGGAGGGAATGGGATCCCCTGAGAAGAGCAGGACCCCCTGAAGGGGAGTGGGACCTGCTGAGGCATCAATTCAACACCAACATGGCCACGGGCGCTGGTGAACCCCGGCCTGGAAAGGGCCTGGTTAAGGGATCAGAGGGTGGAAAGAAATAAATTCATATTCAAGTTTGGCCAAGATTTCACTATAATTGCTTTAAATCCGCATGTGGAATTATTTCACGTGTGTTTACAGCTGAGATGAGCCCTTTGAGTCCCCTCACTTCATGTACTTAAAGCTTAAGAAGTCACTTAACTTATTTACTTAAAGTAAGAAGTCACAGAATGTCTGGGCTGTGCTGGCAGGGATGCAGCCCATTCCTGGGCTTGGGAAGGAGAAACGATCCCTAAAATGAACCCTGAATTGTGCATCTGCTGAACTTATAACTGAGAATAAAACTCAACTTTATAAGTCAATGTTACAACATTTTGACCAACATTCAGCAGTGCTGAGCTCATTTGGGGTAATCATGGAGTGTACAACTGAAATAATTCCAATAGCCAGAGTTATGTTTTGATATGAGGAGAAATAGGTGCTTGTGCAATGACACATAAGCCATCAGGAACTACCTGCTTTTGTAGGTTTTATTTACTAGCTCTCATATTAAAGAAATAAAGGGTAATAGCTTGGGTGTAGATCTTGGATCTGCATTTCTGACAGACCCAATCCAGCCCCTGAGCTCACATCCCTCAAATCTTTGATAATTCCTGTTAATTTGAAGCCAGGGTCCAGGGTTTTCTGACACTAAGCCAAAAGCTTTACAGAAAATACAAATAGGGATCATTAATATTTGTGAAATACTGTCAGAGTACAGTGTCAGTAAACACCAAGTCTTGCTCACCTGGTTACAATATGTCCGTAAGTGGAAACTACCAGAAGTTTCTGAACACTAGAAAAAGTTTTCTGTGTTCCCACCTACACGTTTCTTTTTTGGCTTTTTATCTTCTCTTTTTTTTTTTTCCCACAAGCTGCCTGCTACTGTCACATCTCACTCCTCCTTGTCTGGGCAAGCCCCGGTGCTGTTTGGGGATAGATCCCATCTGGAACAAAGCTCAGACCTGTGTGTAAAACCTGTTCTGCCACTGCTCTCTTTATGAGGAAAACAAGCATTCCGTTGTGCAGCAGTGGTGCAATCCCGAGCTCTGGAGCCAGCGAGGCAGGAGAAGAAAGAAGGGAACAGGACCAGCTTTCAGGAGGAGCCTTGTGATGCCAACCCGAGGTCCCTCCCGTTCACTGGGCACAACTTCCCCGCAAGTCAGCACTGATTTAACTTTCCAAGTTAAATCCTGCTTCCATAAGTTTGTGTTCCTACATTTCCATGTGTTAATTCTCACACTGCTGAAGACGTTAAGAGAAATTCAAAACCAAACAAAGCCCTTTTCCATTTGGTCTGGTCTGAATTACAGTCAGACCCTGCTCTTAACCGTCTAATTAAACATTCCTGAGTGAATAACCCGCGTTGCCGTCAGCGCTATTCCCACAACTTTCATTTCAAACAACTCCATGCATCAGTTTTTCATGGAGCAATCCACTGCCCGGGGCTGTGGCTGCTGGAGAGCAGAGGAGAGGTGCCCAGGCTGCCAGGGAACGTACAACAGGCATGAGAGACATGGTGTGATACAGCCCACGAAGAGGGGTAAGGTGAGGACTGTACTGGCTGCTTCTGGTTCCATTCAGTAGCAGATCCATAGAACCATTTTTATAATTCAGTTTTTTCCTTATCCCGTAGCCAAAGCACCATTGTATCAGTTTTTCAGACAAATCTAGTTCCTGGTGGCAAAATCCAGTTCCCAATGGGAAGCACTGTGGGTTGGCATGAAGTGGTTCCAGTGACAGTGCCCACCACATCTCCATCCTGGTGGGACATCCAGTTTGACACTGGGTGAGAGGAGATGAGTCCCCAGGTAGGGGCTGTGATTCCCCACATGTCACAGCATGGACTTGCAGGCAGGATTTCCTAGATTTTATCAACCTGATTGCTCTCCTTTTTAAGCCAAGCAACACTGCCTGAAGAATGGTATTTCTAGGCAGGTTCTGGATGAAAGTGTCCAGAGACACTTGTGGCCCTGCAAGTTAAGAGGAGTTGGCTACCAAAATGCCTTGTTGATCCTGGACCAGCATGTCCTCTCATTTTTGTTAAGTCCTGTCAAGTTTATGTATTTAGCCATCTCTGCTTCAGCCCTGTAAGGAGTCAAAAGCACTTTTTTCATGATTAAAACCAGCAGCCCTCTTCAAGATCATGACAATTCCTTCACCAGCTGAGTGATAATGCCACCTCATCATTCTTAGGCATTTGGCTCCTCTCCATTTTGCATTAAGTCATGTAGGATACATATTCCTGGTCTCATATAAAAGAGCCATAAATCTGTCTGTGCAAAGCATCTGAAATATCCCAAGCGGGAGGATAATTTGTTTGCTTTTTAACAAAGCTTCCCAGAAGTTCTTACAAAGACTGGATTTATTACTCTAATTTTTATAGTGCTATTTATCAACCTGGGGATCAACATTAATAGAAGCTAAGAATGGTGCTGTGGGGTCTCCACACAACCTTCTCTTCTCCAGGCTGAGCAGCCCCAGCTCTCCCAGCCTGTCTCCACAAGGGGAGGTGCTCTGGTCCCATTATCAACTTCATGGCCTCCTCTGGACTTGCTCCAACAGTTCCATGTCCTTATGTTGGGGGCACCAGACCTGGACACAGTATTCCAGGTGGGATGTCATGAGCAGAGGGGGAGAATCACCTCCCTAAAAGTAAAGGATTCACATTCTGCTCCCCACCACGCAGTGATGTAAAACCCCACAGAGATCCTGACTCAGTGTTACCCTGCAAGCATAAACATGGCAGCATCCACAGAGGAAGTGAATCTGAAAGGAAAATGAGTTAAAAAAAAAAATAAAAATCATAGATCACCGGGCCAGAAAAAACACCTCCATGAGCAACAGCACTGCCAGGAATAACAGCAGGGCAGTGACTGGGGAGCTCAGGGGGAAAGAGCTGTGTGAGTCAAGATGGGAAATAGGATGACAGACGTCATCTACCCCCACCGTGTGCATGGAACAGAAAAAACTGCTTGAAAGGTATGTTAGTGGCAGCAAAATTAACAGTGTTTGTGGGGAACTGGAATGCTAGATGGGAGTTGGAGTACCAGGGGCTTGTGCTGAAGGTACCACCCCAGCTTAGTACCATGTTCTGGGAGGAATCATCATCTCAGACCACTGGGGTTGAAAGGAGATGAACTGGACAAGTTTGAAGCAGCCAGTGTTTGTGCCACACAGAGTTTTACACATTAAATCATGCCCATCTACCACCCTTGATGTACAACTGTGGCTCCAGAGAGGCACAGCACAACGTGGGACATTCCTGGCCGGGGTGACTGTTGCATGT